GTCGAAGAGCGCAACGCCGCCTCCCGCAAAGGCGTCGTCATCTGAAGCCCAAGGCGGCTTCCTAGATGCGATGCTCATCAGTGAGGCGCGGGAACGTGATCGGGATATTCCTGTTGACAAGTTTCCCCCTACAAATGTTTGCATGTTTCCCGAGTCCTGGGAGAGCGCAATGCCGCCCTCAGTGACTACCGCGCCAAGGAGTTTTGAGCAGTTTAGGACTGAGCTCATGAGAATCTAGAGAATCCTGAATTCTCCTGCGATGGTGGACCTAGAGGAGGATGACCTGGATGCCCTGGGCGAGCCGCCCAGGGAGACATCTCGGATGAAGACTTCGAGTCTCAAGTAGACGACGATGGAATGGGGCCTTTTATCGCCAAGTTCTCAGACTTGGTGCCCTCAAAGCAGGAACCGCCATACTACGAGGCCAAGGCATGGCGCACGTCGGAGGAGGAAATAGAAAGGATGAAATCCCTATTTCCCTATTTTCGTGGTTGCCCAGCTGATGCCAAGGGGCACGCAGAGGGCGTTCTCCCGATTGTAGCATCGCTTGAGGATGCAGTGATGGCCAAACCCGCCATCTGTCCGATTGCGAGCACCTACAACCTCGCTTACGAGGGTGAAGAAGTATTAATGGATGCTTCACGCGGGACGTATGGCAGAATCGTCTGTCCCGCGGGGGAGGGTATCTTTGGGTACTTCTTCGAGATTACTGATCCCGCAGCGATCATTGGACGAAGCTCCAGGGAATCGCACATGCTTTTGAAAATTTGTCAGGCTCCACAGACCCAAAGCTGGTAAATGTAAAGCCTGGTGATCCGTCGTTTCCTTTGTGTGGGACGGTTCCCGATGTGCTAGGAGGTTGGATGTCCATGACTCTGATCTCGATGCTTTTCGAAGCCCTATACGGGATCGTTAAATGTACAAGCCTCGACGTGGCAAAGTGGGCGGGCACCCTTGCGAAGGGGAACCCCGCTTACCCCCCAGTCGAACTCCTACTACGGAGGGTCTGGAGGGGGGATGACCCAACAGAGATCACGAGTGAGGTGATCTTTGCGCGTTCCACCCTAATCGGGAGGGACGTGCCATTCAAAGTTTTTAAGCGTTGGGCGCGATCGGACGCCGATTGGCCCATTGTTGAGGCCCATGGATGCGGCAGAGGTCCCTTATACGGGATATGTGCTGCTTTCAATGCCTGAGTGTCGGTCTGCCCTCAAGACGAGGTGCATCAGACGACCCGGCAAATTCGCCATCACGGTCTTTACCATGCGACCTGATAAGGTGTGCAGGGGGGAGATTGAAATCGGCTTGGAGGGTGCAAAGGTGCCTTTCCTCAAGCTGCCGAGCCCCAACAATGAGGGCGAATTTTACGTTGACGAACGCGTCAAACACATGGACAAGCGACATGTTGTCGTGGCAATCGACCTAAAATGGTTGGCCATTGAGGATGCCGCGAGCATCTATAAAACCCGACGCGGTTTTATCGCTGTGCGCGAAGAAATACATGCGCCTTTCTGGCGCGCATGTTACTTGCATCAGGAAGGGGATGTAATCTACATCCGACCTTGGGCGATCCGGACTTTGAACGTCCCGGGCCCGCAGAGAGGGAAGTCATTTGCCTGGGACGAAGCTCCCATGCATGACTATTCCTCGATGCGCACATTTGAATTTGTATGGCGCCATCTATGCAATGGGTATCATTTGCCGATATTTTATCGGGAATGGGTGCCAGGTACCGCTCGCTCTAGCACAAGGCGTGGGCAGCCGACATGGTTGGACGGACTCAAAGCAGTCAGGCCCAACAGCTGGTATCATGGGGAGACAAGTGTCTGGGCTCCTCTCATGGCATCGGTAAACCCGATCCGTGAGGTGGTCAGCTGCATGATCTCCAGTCTGCGCTGTGCGCCTTACCTCGTGCACAATCCCAATGCGGATACTGTGCAGGTCGCGTTCCAGGACGTTGAGAGCATCCCCTCGAAGGACACCCACGCGAGCGTGAGGGCGAGTGACAAGGCACTCGAGCGATGGGTAGCGAAACAGCTGCTAGTCGAGGAAAGTGAGACTGGAAACCCAGTCCCTGATGGCTTGACCGTGATCGCATATTTGGTCGATCACCCGCAGCACGCGGCGCAGGGGGGCCGTCACATGACGAGGAAGGGCAGTCTAAATTCAGCCTTTGCCTTTTACCTCTCTGTATATATGTACGACGCGTACCGCCTCGCGGTCGAGGATGGGTATCTTGTCCCACTGTATGGCCTAAGCGCCTCACGTGAGGACGTGATCATGTCTGTGGTCCAAGCTGAGTGACGCCTCACGGAAGACCCAGATTTTGATATCACCGAGACTCTCAGGTTGCTGAGAACCGGTGGTGGGTCGATCACGGCCCCAATCGAGTATGTTGAGGCATACGTCTATGCCGAGAACAACAAGGTAGACATGGTTCCCGCTGTACAGCGTGATGGCCGACCCGCCATCGTGTTTGCTGAACCGCCATCCGGTAAGCACCACAAGCGGGCCGCTACACCTAGGGGTGATAGTCGTCCGGCTTCGTCACGACCGAATCAGAAGGGTAAAGGGGATCAACGGAAGGGCAATGCCCCTGCGAACCCCTGGCCTAAAGGCGAGGGTCACAAAGGTGACCAATATGCAGGTAAGGGTCACAAGGGTGACCAATTCAAGGGTAAGGGTGGCCAATACGGCTATCAGCAAGGGCAGTACGGTCGTGGCGGAACCGCTTGATCGAGGACGCCAACCGGCGGATACCAGCCCGACGCGCGTGGCTCGGGGTACAAGGAGTCCAATGTATCCTGCATTCCCGATGGGGAACTTTATGCCACAGCACATGGCTGGCATGACGCCGCAAATGTGGCCTGGCGCAATGCCGCAGGGATGGCCACAGTATCCGCAGGAGAATATCGGCGGATGCATGAATCCAAATTCGCCTCACACTCCGAATTGGGGTGAAGATGGGGAGTTGGCCGAAACCGAGCCTTCCCCTCCTCCCCCTGAGGACTGGAATGTCAACAAGGGGAAGGGACGGCGCGGCGGCGGACGGCATCAGTAAAACCTGATGACGGTCCGCTAGTGTTGTGCTACACCCGTATCGTGCCAATGCGCGCTCACAACCTAGAATGTTTTAGTTTGTGTTTAGTTACTGCACGATGACGCGAATAGGACAACGCTCCTAGTATCGTCTCTCTATTTCGGTTAATCACCGAATCATAGTTCGTTTGCACGTGCGACTAAGCGCTAATCGCGCTGGTCACATTGTCTTGTCAGGTACGTTCTGTAGCGGCAAGGCAGTCACCCTCGCCGGCGTCTATGGCCGCTGGCGATCAACTCCCTCCCGCACCGCTGCTGCAGCTGGTGTTGGAACTCATCAAGGTGCAGGGGTGAGGATCACGATTGCGCTGCACCGCCGCCGATAGGGGTCCTACTCGGACCTGAACCGCTGAATGCTGCTGGCGGTGTCCCCGCCAGTAGTCTTCGAGTGATCGCGCGCCTAGACGGTGCTAATTTTAAGACCAGGTCATTATGGTCAACGCGCCACGTTTCAATCAGCAGGCCAAAGCGCCTTAACTCTAAAATTCAGACATTATACCCACGTGAATCTCATGATTCACTGTGGTTGCATTGCAGTTTCTTTTTACTTCATGCCTCCCATATTGGAGTTGAATCTTTGTTCTCTTTTCTTCTTTTGTTTTCTCCTGTTTGATTTGGCTACCGGCGTGAGTCCGCCCCATACCCGTAATTCGGGGTGGTGGCGGGATCCGGGCTCCAAAGCGTGCCCGGGTATGGGGTTGCGAACCCTGGTAGCCTAATCTCCTTTGTTACTTGTTTGTTGCTATTCAGCTTCAAAATGGCCAATGCGCCTTTCCAAATTCACTCCATCTCTTTGTACAGTCGAGGGGGGTGTTTTTGGGGGCAGGTACTTTTATCAAGCACGTATTGATCTTTGCCACGGCCAATGCGCCGTTTGGCTCAAGCTTTTAGTTCCGGCAATTCCGCTTGCAATCACGTCGGCGCCTCAACGCGGCGACCTGGAGCTCTGCAGCAAAAGGCGCTGCGGCCCTCCTTTGGTCGGTGTTGGTGTTGCTGGTGGTTGGTCAGGACTTGGGGTTGGGAACGGTGCGCATTTGTTTCGCTTCTGCACGCTTGCTCGCTTTGCTCGCTTGGTGCTGCTTGCTGCTGGTTTGCTTGCCTGCTCTGCGCTGTGCTGCGCTTCTGCTGGTTTCTTCTTGTTACAACGAGGCAGTGCCGGCCGAGGGCAACCGCTTTGCCCTTGGGACCGGGGGGAGAAGGTGTTTCAAACCCTTTCGCAGTTACGAAGCCTACATGTTTTACGATTTGCAAGCTGCCTACAAGCGTGGAGATTTGCAAGCGCAGCTTGCAAAGATACGCAAGATGCCTACAAGCCTAAATTGTTGCAGGTGGTTGCAGGTTGCAGATGCTTGCAGGTGAAGTTACGAAGAGCTCTATCATTTTGCACTGGCACCTCAGCTTGCTGCAGGTCCATGCAGGCCAATGAGTTGACACTAGTTTTGTGTAAACTGCCCATTATCCTCAGCTGATACTTATTTGCAGAATACACAAGCATGCAATGCATGCTTGCGATACGTAGTTCACAACGTTAAAAAAGAGTCCAGGCTTGCAAGCCGCAGGCTTGCAATGATGGACGATGAGTTTACGTAAATCGGAGCTTGCGCAATTATTAGATTTGGTTTTTGCTGCTTGTTCAGAAGTAAGCCAACAGATCAGAGGCTACGCCTCTAAATATTTGAGGCTAAAGGCTCAACTCAAAGCTTGCAACTCTAGAATGCTCAGCATTCTAGAATGCTCGCCGTTTACTCGAAGCCAGTTGCCTGCCCCTCTTCAAAGTGTGTGCGCGCGTTCCTGTTCTTATCGTAACGCATGTCAAGGGTCCTTGATTGACCACGCAAATGGAGGGCGCTTTGAAAGAGATTTTTCCTTTGGGCACAAAAAAGAATCAGCTTCAGCCCTAGGCGACCCAGCAAGACCATCGCGGCTCATGCAAAGAGGGCGAAGAGGAGCTGGATCGCGAAGCTACGCTTGGTGAAGGAACACAAGGAGGCCGGAGCGACGCGCGCATGGCGGAGAAATGAACGGGATGGGTCTCCTTGGAACGCCATATGTGCAGGGCTCCTTCCATCTCCGATTTGCAAGGGAAAATGAGATGTCTCGGCATAGTTGCAAGTGGAGGTGCCCAGACTCACCAGCGCTTTTCTCTAAAGTGCTGAACAGATTGCAGGCTCTGTGCTTGCGAGCTCACCGTTGATCGTTCTATAGACCTTGATGGATTTGCTGCAAGAATCCCGCTGGCACCCTGCCGGTATCCCACCCCCGCAAAGCCTATTCTTTCCCAAAAATCCCTGCTGTCTACTGCCAGGAATGTTTGCTTCAGCATTCTTGGGTGCAGGGTGTCCCGGTATCGGTGTATTTGGTTGTGCCCATCGTACTTGTCAAATGACAAACGTAGGGGGAGGGGATTGTTCGAAGTCAAAAAAATGATTGGCGTGGCGGATCTTTCCAGTCGGAAGATGACTGGCAGAATGGGTGGCCCACAAACGCACACACGCACAAGCCACACGCACTAGGTTTGGCTGCAGATGCACGACGGCAAGGCGTCTCATGGCTGACAGAATCTCATGCTGTTCAGCGTATTCTCCCAGAGAGTTGCGCGTTGCCGAGCCAGCTGAGGGAGATGAAGTCACGAGAGAGTGAAGGATGAGCAGCTGCTGAGCTAGCTGCAAACCGGCCGCAAACATAATAAGCAGATAGCATCAAAGCCCAGCACAGATTTTAATTGAAGCTCGGGTATGGCCGGACATTGAGCCGCTTTCCGGGCGTTATCACCGCTAGTTCATAGTTGGCCTGTATGTTTGGAATGCCAAGAGTTGGCATTTGTTTGCAGGCTGGGGGCGCAGTATTCCTAGGTCTGGGTGCACTTTAGTAGATGTCATTTCATTGAGAGCTACATCCCGAGGGGAAAAGCTGGATGCGCTTCGGGTGGACATGGTGGAAGCGGGTGGACAGGGTGAAAGGGGGGGAAGGGGTGGAACGGGCGAAAAGAATGGAAGGGGCGGTTGAAGCTCGCATTTTTATGGGGGTCCATTCTTGGAAATCGAATATATTCGAAAATTAGAGACCAAAGTCCGCAGCCCTGCATTTTTTGGGATGATGGAGGCAGTAGCAGTGTCGGCTTTGTGTACTGTTGGGGAATCATGGCGCCTGTTTTCTACTTGCACAAGCTGACCCTGATTTATGCTTGACTTTGTCAGACGACAATTGTCTTACCTTAGCCAAGCCCCTTGAGACGCTGAAGCTTTGTGGTCGAGACTAGCCGTACTGAGCCAAAGGATCGCAGAATTTCTTTTGGGGCCAGCTCCACCACAGGGACGAGTCGGTGAGCTAGAAGATTGTGCAGAAACATGCCCATCAAAAGAACCATCCTGGGACCCCAGTCGCATTGGAATCCGTGAATTGAACAAGTTTTCAGGAGTCCAGTGACCCCTGGAAGACGGGCGAATCGAAACTTGACACGGCTTGCCTTTCGACTGAAACCATTTCAAGCGAGCCCCGGGCATGGGAAATTGACTTGTCCCCCCAGCTGTTGGGTAGACAATCAACGAGTTTGTTCCTGCCAGCATCCTGAACTCACGTGCCTCCTCAAGTCGTGCAGTAACACCCGTGAGCAGCTATGGCTGATTCCCTATCATAGCAAGTAGGTGACAGGCATCGCCGTATTTGGCCGGGTTGTGCGGCTATGTGTGGCGCGCGCACTTAAGAAGATGTGGGAATCAGGCTAGATTTGTCTCAGTGGGCCGCTGCTGCTGAGCATCGCAATATCCAGGCTGTGAAATCCGCTCCGTATGGGTCCGTATCACCGATGCTTCGGCAGCCCCTTGCCTGGGCAGCTTTTCTGGCGGCACTGACCGCGGCAGAACGGGTTCATCAGGCACCAGGGCGAATCATGGGCGAATCATTCTCAGCATCTGGGATGAGGGGGTTGGTGATGTTTCGCCGACTGCTGATGTGCCGGAAAGACATCCTATCTTTTGACTTCTTTGCCGTGATGTTCTGTAAAGAAATACGAGATTCCAACTGTTCGGCACTTGGACTTGTTATTCCGGAGGCAACAGCAGGATTTGGATGCATCCAGTTTTCAGTGGCAGCTTGATGGTCTGGTCTCCTGCGACACATTCTTCTATGGCTGCGGTGTTGGTCCTCGAATCTTGTCCGCGAGGTTCCTCCCCAGAAGCTCCGCGGAGAAGTGCTGCCGTTCCCTGACAGTTGCGACAAGCTGAAGACGGGCTCGTACAAAGTGAACAAATCAGGCCTCCAGCTGCAGGACTGCACCATTAGCGCTGGGACGGATGTCAAGGCAGGGCATCGAATTTTCGTTTTGAGGATTCGACATTTGTGGTTGCCGCATGGGCCAGCACTCCTTTCTCCCGGGACGAAAGAAGCGCGCGGCTTCGGCATGAGCTGTGCCACGCTGTGTTGCCTTGAATTTATGTTTGCTTCAACTGGTAGGCCCCGCGGTCGCTTGCCTTTCCATCACGTTCCTCATTAGCCTCACATTGCAAGAGGTGCCGGGCTGCCGATGCCAGGTCGAGTTGAAACGGCCGTTGATCGTCCACGGGAATCTCACGGTGCGGGGCAACGCCACCTTTTGGAGTCCAAAGTATCTTCGTAACAGTTTCCAGGAGGCAGGGCCAAGAGATGTTGACAGGGTTTTCCTGTGTCGTCTTGCCGTCTGATGGATTCCACCAAGAGATGTTGATGTTGATGTTATCCAATGCGTCCTTTGTGACTTGCCGAAGGCCACCAGATTGGTTCCAGGGTGAGTGTGTAGCTTGCAGTCGGCTTTTCCTTCGTCGAGACCTCAAGAAAGTTGATGCCAACTGTTGGCTTTTGTTGTGGGCTGTGGCCTCGGATGATGTCGGAACATGCGTGAGGTATCAATGGTTCAGCTCGCTTCTTGACCATCCGTGTGGCTGACATCACCCTGCTGCTTCTGATCGTTGCGCAACCCTGTTTCAAGCGTTTCTGTTTTTCTGATGCTCCAATCCTATCACTTTACTTGCCGATGCAGTCGAGAGCAGCCACAACGGCTCGTCTGTTTCCGCTTCCTATCCGGGTTGTTTCTTCAACTCATTCTATACAGGTGACAGCAATTCTCAGCAGCATGTTGGCTGTGGGCCATCGTGCACGCGTGGTTCGTCTCGCCGTCTCTCGCCCGTGGATTTCGCAGGCTTGCCTCCAAGTGGATCACCTGACAGTCTCCGGCAAGCTGGTGATGCAGCGCTGCCAAAATTTTGCAGCGGATGGCCAGGGCGGCTGCCTCAAGGCCACTTCCTTGTTCATGGAGGATGTGCTGAACTGGGTGGGCCGACATTTGGATGCACCAGATATCAAGATCGATTGGTCTGCACTCGTGGGTGAGGTGTTCCTGAGTACTTAGATGAGCATTGTGGAGTGGTTGCGGGATTGCGGCCGAAGCTACTTGAGAGTCAGCATAGTCAGAAGGCTGTCGCTGGTCACGTTGATTCCATGTGATTGCAGGTTCAGTCACTTGTGCGTTGCGACCTTTGCATTCTTTCTTGCCAGCTGTGCGGGTGGTAGCGTCTCCTTGGCAGGAGGGACTTTTGGACCTGAAGCACTGCACATCGATGGGAGAAGGAGGGGGCGCGGCGCTGGGCAGCTTGCACCAAAGGCGTGGGGCCGTGGGGCTTGGAACGTTGCTGTGTGCGGTTGGATGTCGCACTCGTCAGGGCCGGCGAGATGCGCTTCACCGAGTGCACATCCACAGATTTACTGGGTGGAGGACGGGGTGGGTCGGGGTGCTTGGTGCCGTGTGGAGGTGTGGGCCAGCTGACAAGCTTCCTTTCGTCCCATGGCAGCAAAGGGCTCAGGGTTCACAAGTACTCCACGGGCAACGCCTCGCGATTGTGTGCTTTTGCCAGCCAGCGCGTGGCGCAGGCCTGTACGTGGAGGATGATCTGACCCAAGCTGGAGGCCAGCTGGCCTTCAAAGATTGCCACGCACACCAAGGAGGAGGCAGCTCAGCTTGCACAGGAGGTCCTGGCTTGCTTTGCCTTGCTCCAATAATTTCTGTCAGCTCTGAAGGCTTTGTTGTGTTGCTTGCAGTTCCCATGTGTCGCATCACAAAGAGACTTGCAGCCAGACGCGCAAAGGACTGTATGCGGGAAAGGCTTCCACCAACGGCACAATACGCATCGAGGGGTGCAGCGCAGACTCAGGCGCGAGGGGGCTGCTGGGAGGGAGAGAGGTGCAGGTCACTGGTAGTGCCCCGGAGGCGGCGGCGCCATCGTCAAAAGCCTCCAGCAGGGCCCCGCAGGGCGCTTTCAGTGTCACGGCTGCAAGGCGATCCTCCCCTCGACATCCAGGCTCAGTTTCACCTTCGAGCTCGAAGGTGGCATTGGCGGCTGCCTCCTTGTCTACGGTGGCATTTTGGCTGAGGGCCGTGTGGAGGCGGAGGAGGTGTCGGCCAGCGACGCCTCCGCGGTGGCCACCTGGGGGCATGCCACGTTCCACACGCTTTTGGCATCACAGGCCCAGGGTCGAGCGGTGAAGGTGGAGGGCCGCCTGGCGGTGCAGGAGCTGACCGCCGGACCGTCCAACTGGTCCGTGGAGGTAGAGGCGGAAAAAATGGCTGTGAAGTTCGCAAACTGCGGAGAAGTCGCGGAGTGCAGCTTTAAGGTCAGCGGAAAGTGGCTCACCGAATTCAGGTAGTTTTTCGAGCTGATTGAAGGCTCTTTGAGGCAAAGCAGACACAAAAGCACAGGGCAGCAGCTGAGGTTTTGAACCACAAGGATTTTTTGGTAGCTGTGGTTGGGCCCTTTGAACAAGTCAGCTGCCGAGGCACCAAAATGGCACGGACCTGGTGTGGCCCCGCTGCCGTGCCGGATCCGGCATTGTGGACACCGATGCTGACGCGGATCGCTACGTCTCCCGTGGCTGCTACACGTGCCCTGGGGGAGAATTCCAGTTACAGCAGGGGGTGGCTGCCAGCTGCACGCCGTGTCCAGCGATTTGGAAATGCACCAAGAACAAGCTGCAGATGCCAAAGGGAGCCCTGACTGCAGCGGACACTTCAATCCAGGTGTTCCGCATGTGTCGGATGCTGCAAGATGCCGTGGCAGTAGGGATTTCAATGTAATCATGGAAATTTCCTCGCAGCGCGCAAATGGCAGCCAAAACCCAAGAAGCCTTGAAGAGACCTGGCACACACAAGTTGCCTGCGTCGAAACACGCTGAGGTTGGATGGCGCCCGTCGACCCGGAGAAGCTGCGCCTGGCCGAGCTGAACTTGACCAGGGAGGGAAGAGCAATTCAGTGCCTCAGTGAGGCGGCCTGCCCTGGAGGGCAGCTGCCGCTGGACCTGGCGAAGCCAATGTGCTCAGAAGGCCACGGATTCAGCCGAGCTTCCGGCAGGGGATGCAAGAAATGATTTTCAGGATATTACTTGGCAATGGTTTTCGGCGATGATTTCCATGGCGGATATCATGCATTTGCACAATGGGTTGTTTTTCTTCCGCAAAGTTGTCTTTTTCCCCAAGCAATTATGAGCTTCTCAAAGTCATGTTTGCTCATGGGGTCCGGGGGATGGACCCTCCTCGTGCTACTCCTAAAAAAGGAGTTGATGTCAGATGAGATGCATAAAGCTGCAGCCAAGTTTGGCGGTGTGGCCAAGTCCGCAGGGTTCAGGGTCCAAGCCCAAAGTTCTTCCGGCCCTCGCCCTGAGGACGAACTGGGGTCCTGTGCGCTGCCTGCACAGCTGGGCATTATGCCACCAAGGGCGAGTGCGAGAAGTGCCAGGAGGCGTCCCAAGAGGAGAAGGTGCACCTCTGGGGCACGGCCGCGGCCGTGGCCGCCATCGGCCTCGGCCTGGCTGGCGTGGCGTGGCTGTCGCGCGGCGCGGTGACCGAGTACTGGAAACAGGCCGGGGGACCTCTGGGGCCTCGATTTTAGAAGGAAGTTCATGCTACTGGTGAAAAGCTTGGAAAGGCCGACGTGAAGTGGCATGTCCTGAAGGAGCTTGCTGCTCGGCAGGCGGGGGCTGACTTGGATTGCTTTGTCTTGGTTGCCGCGCTTCAGGCGCTGGTTCTTCTTCAAGTAGTTCAGCTGTATGGCATTCTGGCAGCGCTCGCGCCAGATCCATCCACTGGCCAAGGCCTGGGAACTCGTGTCGCCCCAACTCGGCCTAGCTTCCTGCACCCAGAGTGCAACATTGCAGTGGCAACGGGATCCTAGTGCTTCACGAATGAAAGAGGGGGCTCTGTGGTTCGGAGCTTTCGACTTGTGACAAAAGCTATCAGGTGCTTCTCGTGAATCCTTCTGGGAACGCACCTACGTGGATGCGTTGCAGCTGAACTTGGCACAGGCGCAGGACAGCCGAACACAGTGATTTCAAATCGTGTCCGTGCAAAGAAACATGCAGGACGCCTTTCGGCTTCAATGCCTTTGGGATGGTGACAAAGTGCGATTGGCGTCTGCGTTGGCATCCCCCCTGGCGCCTCTGGTCATGCTCCTGGCATGCGGCCTGCTGGAGATCATCAAGCCCTCTGTGGGTGGCCTGGCAGGATGTTCAGAAGGGGGGCTGTGAAGAGTCAGCGGATTTAGGCAGAAAGGTTCCTCTTTGTTGCGCTGACGCGCGTTCCACTCCGAGCGCGGCAGATTTTGATGGAAGCCGAGGTGCCGGCGCCGCCTTCAAGATTTTAACCATCTTTTTCATCGGTGGCGCCCGCGAATCAGCGGCCCTTCTGCGCTGTCAGCTGGTCGACAAAGGACGGGCAAGGGTCAACGTGGGTCAGGGAAGGCTTGAAGGGATTTCCTGTCTCAGCTAGCCTGGCATGGCTTGCGACTTGCGATTTTCCTTCTTTCCATGAGGCGGCGCGCCTCTGGGCGACTTCGCGTTCTTGCAGAAGCTGCCATTCTTGCTCTGCTCCGAAACAAAGGGCGTGGCCAAGTGGGCAGTGACCTCAGGCATGTGGATGTGATTCAGTTTTGGTTTGCGGGCACTTTTTTCTTGTCGGCCTTGGAAGGTCTACCCAGTCGGCTACGGCACTGGGGCAGTGTATGTCGCAGTGATTCCTGTGGCGCTTCTGTATCTGTATATGCGCCAGCACATTGTTCTGAAGCTTGTCTCATTCTATGTTGATTCTGCCTGCAACTTGATTTGTGCTTTTCTTCTGAGAGACAGTCACAGCGGGTTCCCGCCCGACAAGCCACAGGAGCACGCAGCGCGGGATATAAGCTAGATCTGGCCTTGCCCACATTGTTATCATATAACCATCCGCCCATTTTTCCAAAAGCCGCCGTATTCCACAAAGTCCATCATACATTGATACATTGAATTTATGTTTTGAATGTATCAAGGTATTATTAGAGTATATAATCTAATCCAGGTTGTTTCAGCAGTTTCTTCATTTGCTCATCCTTTTCCTTCTTCAATTCTAAATAATCCTTCTCTTTAGCAACAAACAGCGTGTGGTAATATTCATTCAAATATTTGCTCGCCTCTTTCTGCTTATACTTCCCCATAATATCTCTGCCTGGTATTTCTGCAATTGATACAAGTTTTGAAATATTTACTAGTTTCATCACTTTGAACACATAAGAGGGGTTTATTGCATTTACATTTAGAACACTGTTTTTCGTCCATATCACTATTATATTAAATCGATATTTCTTTAAGTACATTTTTACAAAAAAGATGGGCGAGGTTAGGTTTATTCGCCTTTTTTTGTAGTTCATTAATCCTTAGTATTATTTTGTCGCTTGTTTCTCATTGTATCGCCGTCAGTAGTTCTAATATTCGGTCGGCGGGTGTTTCATATTGTGATTAGCCATGTGTTGGAAGCATCATCGGGTGAGTCGCGTTAGTGACAATCCCGAGTCCCCACGTCGATCACCCACGTGTCGGAGGAGAAAGAGACTTCGGCCCGGGGCTGGTTGGTGGGGAGTGCTCGTGCGGTTCCTTTTCCCTTTCGGTTTGGGTGGTTGTTTAGTCACTTGTGTGTGGGAAACCCTGATCTTTTGGACCGGGGATTGGTTACTGTTTTGGGGCCTTTTCTTTTGCGGCTTGTTTACCCCAACTTTTCCAATTGCCTGGGCACAGGTCCGTGCCCGAATCACAGGTTATCAGCCGTAGGACTTACGAGTTGAATGACGTCAACCCTGCGAAGCTGATGCTCTCGATAGGGACACACCTCGCGGGCGCAGCAGGTTTGTGGATGACAGTGATGATCGATTGTTCCGTCAGGTTACTCATGATGAGCAACTCCGATAGGCGGCTCCGCTGTGAATTCAGGTCAGGACAGGCCCAGGAGTCCACCTCCTGACGTTGTGAGGAAGCAGGGTTACCAGAGCCGGCCAATACTGAGAGGTTTAGATGAGGTCAACGCGATGTCGCTAGACCTGGTTTCGACCCCATTCCCAACATTCCCCCCTTTCCCAACATCATTTTCGGGGGATCAATGCGAGGCCGTACTGAGAGCAGTCTCCATAGCACTGAGTTGGGCAAGCTGCAAGCATTCTTGATGAGGCATCTCGTGATGGCAGGCTTGCAATCGCGCTCGATGAGAGGTTCGATTTTGCTTGAGGAGCCCGGGCGCGAGTTGACTGACGCCGAACCTTTTAAGGTCCAGCAATGAGTTCACTCCTCAATGCAGTGAGGGAGGATCGACGAACAGGGAACGGAGTGAGTCTGCGTCGGCAAAGCGCCCATCACTGACAGGTGAAGCGCGACAGGTCGAAAGCAAGGAGTCCAGCTCTGAGCCTGGCATATCCACTCAACTCCTGAGTTCAGAAGGTCTGACACAGCTTCTGCTACCGGCGTTAGCTGAGGTTGGGAATCAAGGCCAAGCAGATCAGTGAATTCTGCCACCAAGCTACGGTCCCAGGGAAAATCTGACAAAGTTTGTTTCAAGGATGAGCGCAGCGATAGGACCCGCTTGACACGCATGCGTTGTCTGTGAGCCAAGGTTCTGCGTGTCATGCATGGGGTGACGTCAACTCCTGAATGAGACGCAGTGTGTGTCGCAAGAGTGCCTGAGAGGTGCCGATGCATCATTGCGCTGAGTGGGAAGGAGATTTGTGACTCACGTGCGCTCTTGGCCTGGAGAAGTGTTCCCGTTGCAACGCTCCTCCCGGTCCTGCACCTCCGGGATACTCTAAGAGTGGCCAGCCTGGCAGCGCTCCTCACTTCTCAGGACCGCCTGTTGACAGCCGCGATAGTGGTACACAGTACGGAGCGGCTAGTTTCTACATGGCGCTAGCCAAACTCAAGGCTTTGCAACGGGTGGCCTCGATCGACCAACCTATTGTCCCACGCGTTGGTTGTGGGATGCGCGCGCGCGATGGCTCTCCTATCGATGTTGGCCAGTGAGCAAGGCTTTTTTGGCTCACATTTCCAAGCAAGTCTCCAGGTCAGTGAGGGTTTATTGGCAAGCTAGCCTCATCATCCGAGTGTCCCATTTGCCAACACTTCAGGCTCGCAACCTCAGTTTGCAGATGATCCAGCAGCAGCTTCAAAGATCTGCCGGGACCATTTTCTGTCTCAGGTGCATTTTGTCCCTAATAGCCTGCGTCTCAATGCACTCTCTGATGCATGTACACGTGGAACACGTGTGTTCACCTGGAACACAATCACGTGCAATTAAAGCACACATGTGTGTACATGTGGGACACACATATGTATACCGCTGGAACACAAATATGTGTCCAGGAACACCGCGTGTGCGATTACAGCACACATGTGTGCACACGTGGAACATATGCGCACGCGTGAGCAAACATAAGCGCGCCTCGAAAACAATCATGCGTTTTCTGGAGCACATACATGCGCACACCTGGAGAGCAAATATGTCGTCAGATGCAAAATTCTTGTGTTCAAGTGGAACACACATCTGTCCACATGGAACACAAACACGTGTCCAGGTAAAACAACCATGTACGCACACGTGGAACACCGTGTGTGCTTATCTGAAGATCCTGGAACGCAAACACGTGTCCAATTGGAACACACAGTGTGCACGCGTGAACACACATACGTGTACTCGTGGAACACACATTTGCGTACACGCGAACACACACACATATATGTGCTTCACACACACGCGTGTTCATCTCAAAACAAAATACACGTCTCTGATAAGAACACACATGTTTGCACACGTGAACACGCATATGTGTACACGCGGGAGACACACATGTGCACACGTGAACGCACACATTTATGTGCACGCAGAAAACACAAACACACCCGAGTATTCATTTGATAACAAACACGTGTCCTCCTGGAACACAAACACGTGTCTAGTTGGAACACAGAGATGCGTACACGTGAACACACACATATAATCGATGTGCGCCCGGAACAACACACACTCACGTACGTTCATCTGATAACAAACATGTACTCACCTGCAACACAAACACGTGTGCAATCGGAACACATATGTGTGCGCACGTGAACACACAAATGTATACGCGTGGAACACATGTGTGTACAAATGAACACACATACATGTGCACGAGGAGCAGGCCCACACACACGTTCTCCTGGAACACAAATACACGTGTCCAGTCGGAACGCGCAGGTGTGCACACGTGAACACACAAATGCGTACACGTGGAACTCACATTTGCGTACACGTGAACACACATACATGTGCACGCGGAGCAGGCGCGTGTTCATCTGATAACAAACATGTGTTCTCCTGGAACACATGCGCGTGCCTGATAAGAACACACATGTGCGTACACGTGAACACACATATGTGTACACGTGCAACACACATATATGACACGTGAACACACATTTTTGTATGCGTGGACACACATATGTCAGTGCACACATATGTCAGTGCACACGCAAACACACACATATATGCACACCCGGAACACGCACACACACACACACACGCACATTCCTGGAACACACACACATGCGTACACCTGGAACACAT